CCAGAGTATCACTCGTGGTGTTCGCAGAAGAAAGGGAATGACCGGCGGGGAAAAACGGAAAATTGATTAGGGTGGCGAAAAAACCACCTCCGAGCGACACATGCTGAGATGATCCTAAATCTTTCGACATATATGTCCCTTTTATTAGATAAGGGGTAAAAAGAAGGGTTTCGGTGGTTTAAAACCACGCCCCTCATATGTTGTGTTAACAAAAAGCGAGCCGGGACCTCTCGGGTGAAAAAAATAAAATTTTATCCTACACGCAAGAAGCGAGGCCAGGAGTAGGACTTTGCGTAAAAAGAGACTTAGTTCAACGTTAATTTTTACGTGTACTGGAACGGTAGGTTGCTTGAGACGGTTGTAAACCACGCCCCTTATAAATAAATCTGATAAGATCTCTGTACGGCAAAGAAAATTTATGTAAACATTAAGATCGATATGCGGGTAATACGGCAAAGACCCACACAGCCGGGCAGTTAAAAAATAGCGAGAATTCATTAGGGCTTTGCGAGGTGCGTGCGGATCTGCGGGGATCTCGGTTGGGAAAATCAGAAGTGGGATAAATAAGCACAGAGAGACGGGCCGGAGCCGTCCCCGGGCGAAGGATCTTTAAGAGGACGTACCCTTGGAGAGCAGATAGAGCGAGAACCTTGCGAGGCCTTGCGGCAGCCATCTTATCCCCTGGACACTGGAATCCGCTCGACGATCGGCCACTGGTCTGGAACTGTTTTGGTCTAGTCACTAAGAAAGGTGCACACATCACTCTAGCGAGGGCACACGGTCGCAGTTGGCGTCAGGAGATTCGACGGGCTTTCGTCCGCCCCGCCCCTATACGAAACATCGCTTAGCGGCCGCCACCAGCTCTTGCCGAACATGCAGCCGACCTTACGCGCGCCGCCGGAATGGGAGCGGCCGTCGTTGCCAGGTCAGGGTGGCGTCGGCGCACCGCCACCGGGCCAAGGGAGTGCGCAGTCCTGCGCCCCCCGAGCGCCGCGATTTCGAATGTGGCGGGGCCGTTTTGGAGGGAACGCCGCCGCCACCGTTTTAACCACGAAGAGTAGTTTGAACAAAGGTAACGACAACTGACGATATTTTGGAATTTGAATACATAACCACCCATGTCTAGAAATGTTAGAGTGTGAACTATTATTACCGCTGTGAGAAGTTAAGCTGGATTGCTATGCGCAGAAATCCGATCTAACTTAGCCTAATATCGTGATTAGTAAGTGAACGAGATAACCTAGAAATAATAATAATCATAAATCTGCATAATAAAAATAAGCCGTTGATAATGGATATGGATTCACCCGAAGAAAATATAATAATTAATCTGAAATTGAACAGACGTCAAAAGTCAAAATTTAAAATGGAGTAGATGTGTGTTTTGTTTAACCTAAAGTTAGTTCAAATCACGGTCACTTCTAGTTTGGTCAATTTGACCAAACTCAACTAACCAAGTGGTAAAACAAATAGAGCTAATAACAACAGATATAACCTAAACGCGTGCGTAATTTCTTCATCTAATGATAATGTATGTAGAAAATCATGTGCCATAAGCATATGTCAGAAAGAACCAAATTTTATATCACTATTACCTACATAAAAAGTTTAGTTTAACTTTTATTCTTACATGTTTTTCTATATCTCGAAAAAATAACAGAACATATGAGCTGAGCTGACATTATAATAAACAGAAAATATAGTACTAACGTTAGTACTATATTTTCTATGATAATAAAGCACCCGGTACATACACATAGGCACAAAATATATGATATACGAGACACATAGGTATGTAAGAAGGAAAAACGATGTACCTATTTTTTTTTTTTTTTTGTAGTTAGAGACAAACAGATACTATTTTTCAAGCCTTCGCGAAATAGTCCTAATAAAACATACTTTACATAATTTCAAAAACTTACCATCCACATCCACCAGCTAGAATTGTGGTTTGTCTTCAACTTTGCCAAGAAACTAAAAGTTCTACACATGGAAAATCGGGCGAAAATATTAATCATCGTTTTAGTAACTAGGTACCCAAAAGCTGTATATGCATGAATAGTAAATATTTTAAATTCAGTTTTAATTTTACAAAAGTCCTCACTAAATAACGCAACGACACAACTACGGACACTAGCTATAGCTAACCTCTACCCACTGGGGCGTCTATCGTTAGTCATTTTTTCGGTGTCGTCAAAGCCTTCCGTATTTTTCCAACTTGGAAGTTTTTGTGAAATAATACGCTAATTAAATATTTCACTTAGGGATTAATTAATAGAATTTTGTATAAGGAAGTTATAGCAAAAGAAATGTCTCTTTTTAAACAGCAGAGAGCAGAGGTCTTCAATAAATTTTGAAATTCTTTAAACGTTTCAGAGCCACAACCAAAACACAAAACACTAAAACAGTCAGTTGAAATGTGGAAGTGTCTGTGGTGCCACTGATTCACAAACAAAAATATAATTATTATAGTTGTGAATTTACTGAAATTAATTGTTAAAGATAATAACGTACAAAAATATATGCAGTTTTTAAGGAATTTATTTTTTAATTATATGAATGCAATATGTGAAAATGTAAAAGTAGTATATTTAGAGAACGGCAAAAAATGGAAAACAAAATTAAGTGTTCTATGGTAGGATCATATTCGATGCAAAGTAATAAATCATTGGCCGTCAAGAGATCCAGTGCAGTACGGTTTTAAGGGGTTTAGAAATTGAATAATTTATGCATTATGAAAAGATGAAGGGAATCAGTTCACGTTTGGCACCCCTGTTCTTTAAAAAAAACATTTATTCTCATAAACTACTTATTTTAAATGTAATTTATTATAAATCCAATTTGTTTTTTAAATTCCACATATGTACTACATTTTACCTCTGTACGTGTCACTGTTGTACTTGTTTTTTCGAGGCGGTCTCTGATTTACGACCAAGCTTGACAGGTTAGTATTTGACGTATAACCAACCACTTCCTACACTCGATGCATCTGGGCGACTACAGCTACTAGCAGAACACAGTACGTTTGAAGGGGTATCTCAAAGTTTACATTCAATTTGATTTTAAATTTAAACTAGTTCATCTTACGCATCCTAAAAATCATGACACGATTTTCCTTTGATAAAAGACCGGCAATTTTTTGCTCCACTTTTCATTTGAATACGATTCTACTACGAATAGTTATTGATATTTCGGTTTTTTCGAAAAGACCATCGTATCCAATTTAGACCAAGACCTCAGAAAAAATATTCCTGTAACGTTTTCACAAAATTTGTTTTATATTTAGTTAAAAATAAGAAAAAAAGCAATATTTTACAGAAATCATTGTTGGGGTTTAATATTATGGCATCTTGGAAAATATTTACTTTTCCAAATACGTAAATTATCAGTTTTTGCATTTATTGTTCTGTAATCGAGAAATTTTATTACACAGGATGGTCCTTAATTACTTGCCAGATAATAAAAAAGGTTAAATCATCAATTGTAAGAAAAAAAGGTTTCTATGAAGCAGTGACGACTCAGAAAATGACAGTGGTTATATTTTTACGAGGCCCATATCATTTTTCAGAAAATTTCCATATCGAAAAAGACTGAACAAAATTTGTGATAAAAAATTAAGGTGGCCGACTCAAGATCTAAAAAAGTATGCAAGTTTTTGCAACATTTTTTTTCATAATCAACTACAAATACGTATTTCCTAATTTTTTCACAAAATTTTTTTTAAAGAATGTTAATATCAAAAACATCTAATTGTATCTGCCGGTTGGTTATTAAAAAAAATATTTTGCAAAGATATGTGCAACATTTTCCGGTATCTTAAGATCGGCCACCCTTATTTTAATTCTTCATTTAACAAATTTCATATTAAATTTTTTATATCACTAAAGTTGTATTGTGGACCTAAAAATCATACCCTAAGAAACGATAAGGATCTCAAATTTAGTACACTATCGTAATCCCTAGCCCTAGAGAACCACATTTCTAACCCATCAAATAATTTTTTACATCATAAATATTATAATAACGGCTTTGTTGAGGAAAAAGTTCTAACTATTCATTTTTTTAAGTTTTGAAGGCAAATTTTTAAATTTTCATTAAAAAACCGAACTTTTATATTTAACGGAGAAGGCTCTAAAAGTAAGAATTTCTCTATAATTCGTGTTTGCAAATTCTGAAATGGCAGACATGCATTTTGTTTACGGATTTGACGACAGTAATGCAGCCGAAATACGTTGAATTTAACAGCGAAGATATCCCCGAGTTTCATCTTCTGCAAAAACTATTTCAAACCTCCGTTAGCTGCTCCAAGAGTAACTTTTGTGAAACGTACCGATGATATTAGAAGACCTAAAAAAAGTATTTTTTCATATAAAAAGTGCAAGCGTTATTGCCAGATATTTTCCTCAGCGTTTAAATTTTTGTCAGTGGGTACTTCACAGCTGACGATACTTTCTAAATAGCACTCATTTTAATTTTTTAACAAGTTTCCTTTAAAACGTGAAAAAATCAGTGGTGTATCATTTAACACCTAGTAACTGGGATGTCTAGATCATAGGAACTTTTTTCTTAAAATTAACGATAACTCGCCTCCTTTATTTGAATATACTCGATAACCACCCTGTACATGGATTTTATCTTTTATGTGGAAATTAAATTCAAACCATACATAACGCCTTAAAAGTGCAAAGTTAAAAATGAGAAAAAAAATGTAATTACTATTTTAGAAAGGAGCCTCTACTTACCTCATAATGTTTCTGTTCAAGCCCTATTTTACAGAAACGTACGATTCCCGAGGGAATTTTTTCTCCGACAGTCGGATGTGTACATCAGAAGTGGGATTTTGGCTGCGACGAGAGGAGGTGCGAGAAAATAAAGTTTTCAAGCCCAATTTTACAGAAACGTACGATTCCAGAGGTAATTTTCTCTCCGATAGTCGGATGTGTGCATCAGAAGTGGGATTTTGGGTGCGACGAGAGGAGGTGCGAGAAAATAAAGAACGATTTTGTAAAATCGTAATACACATACAACTGTTTATTGAGACATATAAATCATCAGTCCTCTCATTATTAATCGATAGATGATATACATAACAATAAGTGCGAAGCCCGATGGCCTCGGATCGATTTACCAATAAAATACAATACAGTATGAATTGCAAAAAACGCATCTCATATTGTTTGACAGTAGTATGGTTGTGTTGTAGTAAAATTGCAGATGTGTGTTACTATTAGGCGTATAGTTCTAGACAGTACATTGGATGAATATTAGCTACCTCACACTAAAAAGATTACTTAAAAAAAAACAACTTTGTTACAGTGTACGGAGAGGGGACAAAATGCCAGGGAAGCGAAAGCAAATAACGGACGTATAAAACCAAAACAGTTACAGGATAATACAAACAAAAATCAATCGGTTACCATTAAATCATCTAAAATTGCAAATCAATGAATGTTTTAGCTGTAATCTCTCGTGTTCTGCTCGGAGACTGAAACATTGCGTCTGCGTTTTTATATCGGATCAAAACTTTTTCTTTTGCTCGTTCGTGACGTACTCGCGGGTGCCGGAAAACAGAAGTATGTATGCTTGAACTTCCTAAATTACTGCTAAAATACAATCATCACAATGCAAAAATGCATTACCAAGAATAAAATATATAATTATATTATACATATAATAAAATTCACTCTGTTCATGAGCAACTGTCTCGGCTGTACTGCATGAACCGAGTGTTGAGTCCCTCCATGCCCGGCGCGGCTGTCGTACGTCCGCCGCTGGGAGGTTCGACCGCCGCGCTCCACAGTGCCAAACCCATGCTTATCAGTGTGTGTACAACAGTTCCTCCTTTCCAGACTATTACAAGTGAAATAAACAACGGCAAAAAATAAATGATGCAGTGATGTGACACCTGGGATATCGGGTTGCTTGATATTAAGTAATAAAAACATAATATTAATAGGGGCGCGGGCCGAGGGCGGCTCGGCTCCCGCCTTCAAAAAAAAAAAGACTATCAACGAACAGGCGGCGTCCCGAGATGTGTTGTCGCCAGAACTTGGAGACGCTGAGCCCAAATAACATCATTAAAACATAACTTAATCAATTTAATTGGCAAATTTATAAAACAAACGTACAGTTAAAAAATTTTGAATAATCCAACTTAACAAGTTACAAATAGACAAAAAAAAAAAACGAATGCAGAATAGGTAATACGTGTATTGGGGACACCATCGGCTGTTGGGTTCCACTATGTTGAGGGCGCCAGGCGCACAACTAGCAGGCACATGAGGGTGCGCCCACCCTTTGCCCTGACGCAGGGCCACTCACACTCAGTCCCACCGTGGGCTTCACAGTTCGTTCACTTAGCTCCAGGACTGGTACGAATCCTGGTACCATGCCTGCTGCTCTCCGTTTATATCTGCCCCCAGCGGCTGCTGTGGAAGGGGCTGGCTCCCCCAGTTGCTTTGAAACCTGCGCTTAGAATCCCCCTGGTTCTGGTGACCCCCGTCAAACTTCCGTTTACCTGCTAAAAAACCACAACGTCAGAAAAACGCCGTGCATCACCTTCGATTCAGTCGCTACGCTAATTCTACACAAGCATACATGTCTACCCTACTCGAAAGTGTAAGAGATCTTCTATGAAGCAAGATTTGGAAAGTACAGTAAAATTTTGAAAGTATTGATAACGGGAAAAAGATTTAACGCCCAGTTCCTTACAGTTCCGCCAGTTAAGTATAATAAAAACATTTATTTGAAAATCGACTCCTTACAAGTTTTTTCAAAAGGGTTGCTTGAAATACTAATATACAGGGTGTTGCGCTTAAATATGATACAAGCTTGTAGCTTCTTTGTTTTTTGACCGATTTCAAATTTTTTTTTTTTAGGATGTAGGTTAAAAAAACACTATCTAACTGTAATGCTGATGTTTTTATTAATGCAATTCACCGCCAACTAGGTAACGTTTTTTTTTCCTTGAGAAGTTGATATGATATGATATTTAGTCACATTACTTTATAACCTTTTTTTATTTATAAAGGGTGATCCCAAATAAAGTGCACAAAATGTAGGAGATGATAGCTGTCTTTGGCACAATAGTATTGGCGCTAAGATCGTTAAAAAAAATAAGTGAATGAATTAAGAACATATTTACAATATTCCAATAAGGCTTAAATACTGAAGAAACTGGGTTTTAAGTCTATTATATTTTAATCTAGATCCGATCTCTAATTTAATTTTGTTATTATACAGCAGGAGTGCGACAAACTTTTAGTGTTGATTTTCATTAGAAAAAAAATAAAAAATAAGAAAAACATTTTCGTTAAATAACTTCTAAAAGGTATACAACGCTTCAAAAGTTGAAACAGTTCTTGATCAATTATTAGAACAGCCTTAGGAAATTAGCATTTGACCTCGACGAAGCTTAACTTTTGCCCTGACGTTCTTTGAGGGCAAGTCACAACATGGCTACCCAAGATATTGAAGGTCAGTTTTTTTGCAAATATCTCGCGTTCTATACATGTGAAAATTGTAGATAATTTAATTATCTACAAGATTGGTCTCTTGCATTTTTTCCCTAAACCTCGCCCTTTTCGAGATATTCAAGGTCAAAGTTTCAAAAACAAGGACTTTCCCGAAAATCTGGCGCCCAATAAATTAGACAGCGATTAAGTTGAAACTTTGACCTTGAATATCTCGAAATGGGCGAGATTTTGGGAAAAAATGCAAGAGACCAATCATGGAGATAATTAAATTATCTACAACATTCACCTTAGGGATATCCGTTGCAATATATTTGCAAAAAACTTTGATCTTCAATATCTTGGGTAGCCATGTTGCGATTTTTGTGATTTCTGCAGATTTGGGTTTGGGACACCTCAAAAACGTGTGCAAAAATTCAGTTTGGAGGAAATTTTGTCGTGGTTTTTCCCATTTTTTCGTCAAATTTCCTTGGGCTATGAAAGGATTTAAAATCTACTAAGTGGATATACAATCTATACTAATCATCAACAGCAAATCATAGGAAAATGTCAATTATTTTGCTCCAATTAAAATATAATTTTGAAAAGGTTCAATCTACCCATCTAAATTTGAAATCTAATCGATCAGAAACTGTGCTTCAATTATTGAACGATTGTAAAACTCTTATAAACGGTTTTTAGGACAAAAATATTGCTTTTTTTTAACGAACCCTGAAAATTTGTCGCGTCTTGACTACCGCACATTCTATGTCTTAGACTTAACAATACTTAGGTACTCTCACTTTGTTACAAAATTTAAGATTTGTGTAGGATATTTCTCAGATATTCCCCAAAACTAAGTTTTGAAAAAAATTTTTTAACGAAACTAACAAATCATTAACAAAATATCCTACACATTTCTCAATAAAGCATTTTACATTGATACATTGGGAAATGGAAAGGAGGAAAGCAAATAAAATACATAGTTCGCGATTTTGCAACTTCTCTGTGGACCTCAACAAATTTAACAAATATTTTTTGTATTAATATGTAAGTGTGTCAATTAATCTTTAAGTAAACCTCATTTTTATATGGAGAAATATATCGCCTGGAGTTATTTATTTGTGACATAGTTTTCATATTTTTCTTTATTTTTTGCGTAAGGTTTTACCTATCCAAAAAACCTCACAGTGAAAAAAGCAGACAAATACAAAAATATATTAACAAAAAACACATCACTTTGTATCGCCACTTTAAAAAGTTGTTGACGTTTCGAAAATCTGCCTGTTTTCGTCTATTGAACTTTTTTTGACATTTCGTTTTAGTTTTTAATTTTTAAACTGTCAAATCGACTAAAACGAAAAATCCAAAAAAGTTCTCAAGACGAAAAGAGAGATTTTCGAAACGTTAACAACTTTTAAAGTGAGCGGTACAGAGATATGTTTTTGTATAGTCGTTAAGATTTCAGTTTGAACCGCATAAAAATATTTAACTCAAACTCTACGGAATCCATAGGCGTTCAGAAAAATTTTGCCCTGTCTCGTCTAGATATACTATATTCCGAGCTATATTCCTATTTAGCTGTTCAACTGTTGCGTATAAAAACAACCGTTTTAGTCGAGTAAATGTGACATATGTATTTATCTTAAAACAAAATATTCTACTTTTCCAAAAATTGTTGAGCGCCAATCAAAAATTTCGCACTTTCGAGTTTCGCGGCCCCTCTAAGCAAAAGCTAGCGGTCCCGGCCTAATCCGCAGCTGTGCAATTCGAACCGAAAACGGCACCGGGGACTATACGTCACGAATTTAAATCCACTTCATCATAATTTAATTATCGAGCGAGGTACGCGCTGCAAGGAGAAGAAGCGGGTCCGCATAATAACCAAAGACCAAGGGGCCGGTGCCAGTTTCCATGTGATCCGAATAATCCGTGCGATTTTTTGCACGGAACCAGGTCACGGGATTCAGGTCTCACGAGCGGTTGCAAAAACGCACACAAAGGACGAAAACGGCGCATCCGTCATACTTTCATTATTTGTTTTCCTCGCCGGTCCCACGATACATAATACGAATCGGGATGGCGAGCGAAGGGGTCAAAGACTATAAAGTGCTACAGGACATAAGAGGGGGAATCTGGTTAAAGGAATACGCTACACAGGTTAGACTAGTTCCGCGCGGTGCGAAAAAATTCGGCGACGTCGGATGACGTCGCCGCGCAATGACGTCTCTGCGTGCGTATTCCGTCGACCACGTGGTGGAGGGCCAGCGGGCAGCGTTGCCAGTGCAGGCGATTCATCCGAATTGGGGATCACAAACGGTACGTTTGCGAAAGGTCCATTAAATGAAACAGCAGTTGGCGTTAATTTTAAACAAGCTTCGCGGTGGACTCTTCTTTTTAGGCGATACGGGAAAGAAAAAACTGCAAAATGACAGAGACGAAAGAAATTTAAGCATACGCCTTAAAGCTCGTGTCAAACTGTCAAATCTCTGTCAAAATTTGATCAAAACAATTTGATATTAAAATGTACTTCCATTATCATCAAATTATTTGACGATTTGGTCAAATTACTAGAATATGAAGTAGTTCGCCTCAATATGTTAAATAAAATGGATGACCTTGAACGTAAAAATACAGTGTGTCCCCGGATGGGGTACCGCACTCTTGCAAACCTTTTTATTCTGATTTTTCGAGAAAAAGGTAATTCTTGATAAAAAAATTTCCTTTTTATTTGCAAAATGTGATTACTGTTCTGACTAAACCCAGTATTTAAGCATTTCTTGAGTTCTCGAACAACTTTGTTAAGTACAGTTTTTAAGGAAAACAAAAATTAAAGGCACTTGGCTTAGGAAAATTTCACGTTTTGAAATTTTTTGTACGCCCTCTACGTTCTATTACATATTTGCCCATGGCTTCCCAAGATAAGCAAAATTTTGTATCAAGATTAACTTTTTCACGAAAAATCAACAATAAAAAGAGTTTACAAGGATGCGGGGACCCCACTGCATATAAAAAAATATTTGTTTTAACGGATTTCGACACTTTAAACTACAAAGAAAAGTTTGCGTTTCGGGAACGAAAAAATGGATGAGAAACACTGGCAACGCCGCCGTCGGATGGGAAAGAGAAACGGTATTGGACCTACATAATGCATTTGCAACGATAACGCCTTTCGCATACACGCAAACTTCGGGCTTTAAAACATCTGAATGGGAAAAGAGGACAGTGTGTGTGAGCGGGAAACGTTCTGCTGAAACTTCGCAGTAACTCTTACGCTACTGCAAGCAGAACTGAAATTTAACAATCAGTAATGGGTGAGACGTGCGAGGTCGGGGGGGGATTTGCAGATTTTAAAATGCAACACTTCAGGGCAACATATGGAAAAAGTTAAAAGATTCTGTTGAAGCGACATTTTGTCGCTTATTTACCGATCGTCGAAAAAAAAACCTGCAATTTAGTATTTTCCCCACTAAAAAGAAAGGCAAAAAGATTTACTCAAAATAACCTGTTTTTAAGCTCAAAACTGACTACAATTTTTTGTTTTTAATTGTTCATTTTGAATATACTTTTTCTTTACTCTAAATGGTATGAAGCACAAATCAGTCTAAAGACTTAAAATGCAGTCAATATAAGCTCGTTGAAACAAAAAAAAATAATAAGATGAAAATAGACATTTTAAATATTCGCTGAGGAATTGTTAACATTTTCAAAATTTTCGCTAATAAATGTGTGCCATCTACTCTCCTTAACCCATTTTTGATGAAAAAAATATTGTCCAAAGTTCGTTATCGTTACAAACCACAAATAAGAAATTTTGAAAAATATTCCTTTTTTCCATATGTTTACTAAAGTAAGTGAGGCTCGTAAGAATTAAATTAAAAACAATAGTTAAAATCTGCAAACGTTAAAATACTGGGTATGCGTATAACTATTGGCAAGTTCCAATAGTAAAATTTTTGAAGCAAAGTTCGTCATTGCAAAATCAGACGACACAATTTTAATTAAAGAAAATTTATGACTAGTCGAATCGGAAATAAAGAATAAGTATGTTATGACGTCACTTCTCCTAACAAATTAACGCGAGATGTGATCTTACTCCAACTTTGATACACTCTTAATCACAATTGAAACATTAAAAAATAAAATTGTGAAATGTAAGAACAATTACTTCGCTATTCGTTTACCCAGTACCTCTACATGGAATACCTAAGTGATCCAATAGTTATTTTCAGCAAAAAATCAAATAAAACACAAATCGGATCACCAAGTTTGCACAACGAAAGAACATGTAAAATCTATACGGCGTGCCCGTTTTTTCGAACCGCACAATGTGGATCCCGGCAATTTTAAGAGACTGTTCAAATTAAGGCAAAGTTGCTTTGCGGAATTTGACGAACAGAGATTTGCCCAATCTTTGTTTTGAAGTTGTTTCTGACTTTTTAATTAGCGCATTTTATCGATTACTGTTATCTATTTTTTACAACCAACCAGAACATATTCAATTTCTGGATAATTTTTTTACCAGAAATTAGCGTTTATCGGCCAAAATCGGAAAATAAGCGTCAGGAGTCGGCAAAACCTTTGAAAACATCAAAAATCGAAGGTGAAATTCAAGAAGAAAGTTTGAAAGGCGACAACGGCGACATTTTGATGATTCATGAATTGGTGCCAAGAAAAAATGTATGTGAAGTAGTCATTTTGCATTGTTTTGCACCAACTGGCCTTATCGACCTTGTACAACTTGCACCCAGTGTTGAAATGCATGTCAGCCCCCCCAAAAAAAATGTAGGTAAAAGGAAGTCTGTAAGCCGAAGATTCTTACAAGACAATGAAACATTTCTTAATAATGCCGCTGACAGCCGATATCTCACGCTTATGATTGAATGAAAAAAAGAGGAAAAATAAAAAAATTTGCATCACCGGAAAGTGGTAGATTTCAGGGCGACAGTCTTGGAAGCATGGAGAAAAAACAAAACAACACTTTCCCGTCTTGTAACGTAATTAATATTTTACAAATAGCATTTTCAAACAAACCACACATCTATTGCTTCAAATGCAGGGCCGGATTAATCTATGGCGAGATCCGGGGCTATAAACTCTATGGAGGCCCTTTAAAAAAAAAAAAAAATTCAAAACCTAAACACGTTTTGGTTTGATTCTAAAAAAAAAAGATCACACAATCAGCGACTTGCAGATATAAAATTTCAAAACCTGAACACCTTTTTGGTTTGATTCTAAAAAAAACCTAAACAGTTTTCGGGTTGCCAGATCTTGCCGAGGCCCCCGATCTCGTGTGCCAATAAGAGGAAAAACTTTTTTATTTTACATTTTACGGAAAAAAGGTACACTTGATAAAAAGTTTTGCTTGAAATGGAAGTAAATATTTGTAAATAATCAAAGTAGGCCAATTTTCCACAAATTGGAATTGTCGTATCTTTTAATTTGGAACAACTTTTCTTAGTGACACTTTTCAGAAATATTAGAAATAAAGGTAGTTTACTCTCGTGACATTTTTCAGGTTTTTAAATATTTTGGACACCCCGTACATGAAATGTTAAGTTTCACCATGGGCCACCTCATTTTAAATTCAAGCAAATCTTTATCAAGTGTGCCTTATTTCCGTAAAATGCAAAATATTCTGGTTTCAAAGCACTCCTTTGTAAAAATTTATAATTTGAATCACTAATGACAGTAATCAGAAGAAATCGATGAATAAAAAAATGCGAAAATTCAATATGGCTTCCACAGGGAAAATAAAAGCTGAACGTCGTTACCCCGTCTTGATAGACGCCGCAGTTACATTGTAATTATTTATAACTTCACACCAAAAAAATTGCTCATCCGCAAACTATTCGTCAATTTCCGCCACCTTGACCGAATATTACACCAATTTCGTGTCTCTTAAAATAACCGAGTTGATATTGCTACGATGCGGTTCGAATAACGGGCACCCGAAATATATATTAAAACAAAAAAAACAACCAAAAAAAAATCTTACCTGGTAAACTTCCCTTGGCGCGGCCCACTCCACGAGCGGCTTGGCGTGCTGCCCCACGGGCCCCTGCTGCTCCTCCCCGGCCCGCCCGGTTGGCTGCCGCCCCACGGGCTGGGGGGCCACCGGCCCGGCCACGTGCCACCACCCCACGCCCACGGCCAGCCTGCTTGGGATGGAAAAAAATAACGTTAGGCTCGTCCGGAAGCTCCGGTAATAATATTGCGGCGCGGGGGGGTAGTAGCGGCGACGCCTCTCGACTCGCCGCCGCCCCCCCGCGTCGCAATATTTTTCGGCACATCCAAGAAATCCGTGGTAATTGTAAAAAAAAATCGTAAATAAAAAAAATAAAACGGAACACAGTACCCAGTTACATTCATTATAACATTCAACGTTGGATCCTTTCTACCATAACCATCTAGTGCAAATGTGCATGTCAAAGTGCTGGCAAATACCTTGAGGTTCCGTACGGGCAAATAAAAAATAAAAAAATTTAAAAATATCGAAAATAAAAATTAAAAAAATAAACTAAAGACATAAATTGGATTCCCGTAACAAAGTAAATTTAGCATTTTCCTTTGCTCAAAATTAGGAAAAATCGATTATGCATTTAATAATTGTTATTCTAATAAAAATATTATAAAAACAACCGATACAAAATTAAAAAAAAATAAAAAATATTTCCTAGATTAGAAAATTGCGAATAAATAAAAATAAAAAAAAATCAGTGTTAATAACTCGCAAAACATAACAAAAAAACTGCATCCTCGAGAAACATAACAACTTAACAAGGTATTTCCGCAGGACTTGAGTGTAAATTCGGTTGAAAAAATTCAATGTGTGCTCCGCACAAAATACGACCGGTTAGTCTTGTTAAGCATGCAATAAATTTTGTTATGTCAGACTGTAAAATTAAATAAAAAAAATAGGAGTTAGTAATATAGTTTCCAATTGCCGAAAATATCAATAACGGTTTCCTTGCGGCCATTCCCTAAGAAGCATGGCCTACCATTTCGCTTATTGATTTCTTAGGCAAGAGAAATCCTTCTTCCCAAAAATGTATCAATAAATGTACTTACATCGGTACCTAGCGATTTACAAAACACGTATTGTACTTTCTTGGCGATTTGTCTGGCATATACTTAATATTTGTGCACTTTCGGAACCCGCTAAAATAACGACATAATGCTTATTCACATGTTACCAACTTGACTTGTGCGCTAGTTTTTAAGTATTAACAAAGTGACCTTAATGAAGGAGTCCGAATTTTTGTCAACCGAAAATACACATCTCAGGAAACATATACATTTAAAAAAACACTCGGAGGGGGACGGCAGACGTGGAATGGAAGAAAGGACGGTAACGTGGATATTTTTATAAACACAAAATACAAACATTCAGAAATGTGACGGCCTACAAATATTATACTGCGCTTGCTTGGTTAATTATGAAAATTCAGTCAAAGAAAACCGTAACCGGGTTCCTCTGCGGGCTTTATAATAGTTGTAGGGCTTACTTACACGTATTGTTCATAGTACTTCGCAATTCAACCACACAAAGTTGGGCAAACAAAATTAGTGTATTAGTAAGCCTTGTTAGACAGCTAAAAACCATCAGGAATGGTGAATGGAAGTAACAGTATAACGCCGTCAAATCTGACTGACGATCACACCAGAGAAGTACCATGAACAACGAGTTACCTGGGAGTACCGGGATCGGAGGCGGGGACGTGATTGATTTTTTTTTAATCTCTGGAAATTATCACCGATTCTGGTAGAAAGGACAACAAACCTGTGTTCCACTGCTAACATCGTAGTAAACGCCTGAACCGACTCCTTCATCCAGTTCCTAAGTGTCAACTTATATCAGTACCATTGCATGTACAAAAACGGCAACACTTAGTACTGGTAGCTTTTTCCAGGAACTTTTTTTCCATTTTGTCGTGTGCATCGTAACCTCGAAATTCAGTGCTGCCAAATAGTTCGGCAGAACTGAATCCTCTTGATTTAATTAAAAAAAAATGAGAGGAACAAAAACGCGCGTCGTCTCACTTATAAAAAAGTTTAAGGAAAAAACTCGCTCCGCAGAGATTGTTTTTAATCAATGAATAAACGTTGCTGAATTCAGGGTAAATTAAAAACAGTCTCAAAATGTTTATATAAAAATATACTGTGTGTTGCACTACTTTAATGTCAAATTTTAAAAGCTGCAGTGCATCACACACTACTGGCCAACCAAAACGGCTCCGAGATTACCAACGAACTAACAGTAGCATCCGAAACATAAAAAATATATTTAATGTTCCTTATTTCCTCGCGACATTCCTAGGAAAATTCCATGGAAAATAAAAATAAATAATTTTTACACAGGACGGTCGATTTTTATCGATCAAACTTTAGAAACAGGTAAATTAACTAAAAATTATGTTCCAAATATATATATTTTTCCAAAACGCATATTGTTTCGCGGATGAAAAAAAATTAAATGTTTAAATGTATTTTCAATGTTTCAGTTTTTATCAGTGTCGTAGGAAACAATAACGGCGAGTTTTTATTAAAAAATGATACGCCACTGACAATATAAAAAGTGCTCTCGCGCTTTTTTCGTAAAACTACAGCATTTCCAAATAATTATTAAAAACATTTCATGGTTAAATATTGCATTTAACAGAAAATTACACCGAAATAGAGCGACTTGAACAAAATTTTTGCTTATGAGAGTTGGGAAACGCGATATTTCCATTTGAAAAAATTATGGCCTAGATTAAATAGAACACCCTGTATAATATAAAGCAATTTTTAAAATGTGTATTATTTGAGATATTTCATATTTTCGTCCCTATCAGAACGACGAAAAAGTGCGACTGCCCCTGATTGCTGTTAAATGCAGTTGTTTATTAAAAAAAATCTTTTTAAAAATACATTTTACTGGAAAAGGATAAATTTCCAAAAAAAAACAAGAATTTTTTTGTGAAACGGATTTTTGTAAATAATAATTTTTTTAAAAGAATCCGCCTTTCTTACGACACTGGAAAAACTGAAAACCTTGTCAATTTATAAAATGCGATTTTCTGCTGTAATGTTGAGCATTTAGAAAATTTTCGAGAAAAAAAAATATAAAAGAAAAAATGACATATTTTAAAAGTAAACTTTTTCAAATATTGTATAAAGTTTGCCACAAAATTATGGCCTAGATTAAATAGAACACCCTGTATAATATAAAGCAATTTTTGAAATGTGTAAAAATTTTTTGAAGTAACTTATTCGCGATATTTCATATTTTCGTCCCTATCAGAACGACGAAAAAGTGCGACTGCCTCTGATTGCTGTTAAATGCAGTTGTTTATTAAAAAAATCTTTTTAAAAATACGTTTTACTGGAAAAGGACCAATTTCCCAAAAAAAAAAGGATTTTTGTAAATAATTATTTTTTTAAAGGAACCCGCCTTTTTTACGACACTGAAAACGTTGTCAATTTATAAAATGCGATTTTCTGCTGTAATGTTGAGCATTTAGAAAATTTTCGAGAAAAAAAAATTATAAAAAAAATTACATATTTCAAAAGTAAACTTTTTTCAAATATTGTATAGTTTGCCTTCTGCAATTCAGTCCTATTTGTGAAATAAAATTTGTCATAATTCAAAACCGTAGAAAATTGATGACTCGGAAATTAAAAAAAAATCTTATGTGGCGAAAATTTCAATGTCTTAGGCCTACTTTGATTATTTGCTTTTTCGCTATTAAAGTGCGATTTTTGTAGGAGATATCACAAAATGTTATTAAGAAATGTCCTTAACATTTTGTCGTATCTGATACAAATTATAGAAAAATTCTGAAAACAAGCAAAAAATCGAAGTAGGCCTAAAGACATTAAAATTTTGCAAGAACTCTGTTTTTTATTCTAAGAAACTTTTAACTTTTAATATTTTGCGGTATTCTAAACCAAAAAGGCACTTTACTGACCAAATGACTGACTTTACCAAATTTCCAAGGCTTACTGAATTTTACAGATTTTAAATCATGGCACAATGGGATTCAGAAAAACTTAGACATGCATCCCAAAAGGCCATTTTCGTCGTTTAACCTATCCGGGAACACGTACAGTCCCTACGATATTTGTTGAGATAGAGTACCAAGAAGACCCCTGCGTCACTTTCTCGGAGTTAACCGCATTCGATACCCGAGATAGAAAGACATTGGCGCCGTGGCGTCTTTCTACCTCGGATGTCGAACGCAGTTAATTCCAAGAAAGTGACACAGGGGTCTTCTTGCAGTTCTATCTCGACAAATATGGTGCGGACTGTAAATATTAAACTCGCATTATTACTTTTTTCATAATCTACCTGTTCCTAAAGTTGAATCAATAACAACCGATCCACCTTACACGAAATTGCACTGAACGATCTATCGACGTAAAAGTAACGCCTAAAACATTGACAGCCACCATTATTTTGAATTCTTTTTCAGTTGTGGAAAGCATAGTTTAGTTTAGTTTGCAGGCTTTCGTGACAATTGACAACGGTTGAACGGCTTCCAGGCTGGTTGCCACGTCATCCGTCATCGGTTTAGATTTCTTGACATTTCGAGAGATATATTCTTGAGAATTTCTTCTGAAGAAAACGATAAGTCTCTCGAAAAGTCAAAAAATCTGAACCGACGAAGTGGAAAGCAGCCCGGAAATTGTCCAACGAATGCACATATGAATAGCCTTCCTCGCAAACAGAAACGGCTAAAAAGTAAAAACCAACATTTGTGTAATTCTATATAATCAACATACAAAACTAAAGCCTCTCAACGGGAGCGCGAGAAAATAAGGAACTATTATACATGTGGGAGGGAAACGGAGAAGTCTTCGCTGCGTCGTGTTGGTTGGCCTTCTCAGCTACACATCCTCCTTAAATCTATCGATGCGGAAGCTCTAGAAAAGGGTTATCCAAAAATATAAAAATGGTGTAACAAAGCTCGGCTAAACGACACAGCACGTGGTCGCCTAGAGCGGCCAAAGCCAAGCACAAAGCAAAAGCAAAGCTTCTAAAAAAAGCACTATTTAAGCAAAAGCAAAAGACAAAAGGCACTGTCGACAGGACAACACTGCGGTAGTACAAAATCACGAAACATAGACAGACACATAGTAAGCTGGCAGACTTCTAGACACTTGCGGTTAAGCAAATTAAAAAAAGGGGTGAACAAAATTAAAAAGTATGTTTTATTAAGAGGTTAGTGTCGGCGTGGCGGCGTCGTCCCTCGCCCCACTTTTGGATAACCCTGCAACTAAGAGCACATCATATCTGAGCCAGCCACAGCCGGCGGCTGGCGTCCAGTCAGATCCATTTAGACTCGAGTCCGTCGCACTTTTCCCGGCGTCGCTGAATTTTGAAGTTGGCTCAGATATGATGGTATTTTTGAATGTGGCAAGTGTACGATTAGTTCGCTGGTTTGGCTTTTTTTTATTTTTTTATTTAATTCGAGACCATGCAAGCATTTGGGCCGGGCAGTTAAAGGGGGGAGTGTGTTAAGTGCTGCTCGTTAGTGGCGGTATGCCGACACTGTGCCACAATCAAACTACCGCATAGAATTAGAAAAAAAAATCTTAATTAAATATGTAATAATAAACAAAAAAAGTTCGGTAATGAAAATTTGATATTGTCCCATACCGGTGCTGGCTGCCGACCCCTTCCTCTCCCTTGCGTCGGGGTCGGCTGATAATCGTAATAGTAATCTTCATACCGGTAAAAGTCATCATAATAGGGATCGCTGTAGCCGCCTCTATAGTCCCCGTAACCGTAATAGTCGTAATCATAATCTATAAAAGACAATAATTCCCAATTTAGCCAACTAGATCCAATCGGATTGCCTGGAGAGGTATTACTACTAATAGCATGCCGGGAAAAGAGTCAAGTAACGATTCTCGCCAGAATCTATTCAGCTTTTTACCACATACACTAGATATTTGTTATGAAGTCAACTTGACGTATATGTACAGTACACAAAATGGGGGGCTGACTATGTGCCACCTTACATACTCTACAACTATATCGTTACTCAGCTAACAGTGAGTCCAGTGAAGATGAAAACTATTCAAGGTACTTAATTTCCCGCGCGCATTAGCAACTATATGGATGAATAGCCACAAAACAACCCGTCCCGCTCTAACGGAAATACTATCGCGGAGCTTGCTCGATACTTTCCCCTCAATTTTAACAAAAACAATGAAATTTTGATCACTTCGCGGCCTTCCGACACTACGGACGTCGAATACCGGCCTGTGCGACGGAGGAATTAAGGTTAAGAGCTTAGGGGAGGGGTTAGGGGAACCGCGAAGCATCCATATGTTTGCCAATAGACGCGCGTACTCGTCATCATATTAAAAAAAAATACAGTCCCTACACCACAGCTTGTACTTACCCGATGCTCCTGGCTGCAAGCGCAACAATTTTTTTTTTTTTTTTAAAACAACACAAGTGAGGAAAGACAGAGAGATACACATGCATGTTAGAGTCGGAGGCGCGTGCAATGCTTTACGATGCCCTTGCCTTGCTGCGGTGCCCCCCGGCCTTCCTCGTGCATCCACCCAGACACACAGACACACGTACAGACAGGCGCGCCGCCATTCACCGATACGTGCATCCAAACAGTATTTTTAATTTACTATCAAAACATTGTTAACGTCAACACTACTTGATCTAAAAAAACTGTGTTATCTAAAATACAGGCACTACATTTACGTATCATGTATTCTTTCAGACCTGAAATAAACTTGGTTTGAGACAATAAACATAGGTTTTTTTTTTATACACAGTTGGCAGAGTTCCTCGTCAACTTGCAGTCGGACCTTAAACGGTTGGAAACAATGTACAACAAAGATGACAGGCGAAAAACATACAAAGGATTATTTGTTAGTGAAGTGCTAGAAAGTTCATGTTTTGGTTATTATGTAATCAAACAAACTTGTTGGTTAAAATGAGCTTTGGAAAATTACAAGGATGAAGCGGAAACAATCATAAATAATGCAGCGCCGAGATGGCGGGGCCGCATCATTTACTCTTTCTCTTTTGTACAAAAGTGGCATGTGGACATTCGACTTTGTTCTGTCTGGTTTTTTTTTTAGCATACTCTTACACAAGTAGTGGAATAGTTACTTGACTAACAAGCAGACTAAGGACCAATGTAAATTTATCTGATTATTATTATTATTATTGTAAATAAATAGTTCGATGTGAAGAGGTATTCGCTTACCGTAGTCGCCCCGACCCATCGGGCCCCCTCGCATGCTTCCGGATCCCGTTCGTGGACCTCCTGGTCCGGGTGGTCCTCTCAGGGGCATCGGTCCGGGCATCATTCTGTTGGAATCGCAAAACTGTTACTCCAAGGCTAAGTTGTCGCGGAACGTTAACATATTCGCTCTACGCGACCTTTTTGCGCATCGAATGACGTTAAATCTAATAAGTGCATTTACAAGACGCGGGATTTCAAAACGTGGATTTAAGAATCCCAACGCTAATACAGTGGGCTAAAGCCCCGTCCAGCAATATTATTAATTAAAAATTTTATATTTCATGATAAATGTAATTATTCAAACAACAAACGATCTTGGTGGCAAAGAGCCTATACAAGATTTCCTCAGGAGAAAATTTTGGGTTTAAAACTGATTCGAATTAGTTTATATTGCACCATCAAAATAGACTATAAAACTTTCCGCGAATCGAAAATACATTTAGAATAACATAGAAAAATACTCACCCTCCTCGTATTTGCATCATCTGCATCATGCGTCTTTCCCGAGCTCTCAGTATCTCCTCCTTCTTCTTCTTATCGGACGGCGGTTTGGCTAGTGAAACTTCAATGTTTGATCCCCCCATTTCTTTAGAATCCAGCTCTTCCATGGCCTAAAGATTAAACGTTCTTTAACCGTGCGCGATACAGAGGATACAGTCGACTATAGAACGTTCATTTATAACGTCTTCTTTTAGCTCTGACTTCACGATCATTGTTTAGAACGAGACACTGATAGAAAAATACAATGCGATTGACTATTGCTTGAACGTGAATCGAAATCATATTAGAGAAGAAGCTATTGTTTGGTCTGAAGAGGAAATGCGGTGAAGCCAATATGCACATTGGGACCTAGAGAGTCCAATATCGCGATCCCGGGATCTTGGAATCTCGAACTTTTGATAGGATTCCAAATGTGGGGAATTCCGTATCCCTCCTACTAATAGCGAAATAGCGGGATTGAATCTTGATCCCGAACCACACTGGACTCCCTAGACCTGCCAAGGGTAGAAGACGAATGGGAATGGTGCGTTCTAGATGTCGACTCTCTCCTTCCCTTCGGCGGCATGGCAAGGTACTACCTTTACTGCGTGATCCCTATCCTCGAAGTGAATGAACGCGTAGTCTTTGATTTTCTTAACCCTCTCCACTTTGCCGTAAAGCTCGAAGACCTCCTTGAGCTTCTCCTCGGTGATCTCTTGCGTCAGGTTCCTGACGTACAGGACCTTAACTTTGGACATGGTCTGCTCGTCGGGCTCTTCCTGGGGATCGGCCCAGTCTACTATGATGTCGCAGCCCCAGACCTTGATACGGCCGGTGCCGAGTCGCCTCTTGGCCAACGAGGCGGCCTTGTGGGACTCGTATTCGAGAAAACAGAAACCCCGATTTTTCTTCTTGTCGTCCGGGGATGAGTAAATGATGACCTCCATGAGCCCAGCTGCGCAACAAACTCTGGTTAATACGGATCGGCCGATGGGAAAATTTATGGAGTTGCTTATGTATGGACGAGCACCAAAGTCCATTGCACTAAAAGTACTGACAATACTAAGAAGCATGAGAGAAACACAGAGTGAATGCGTGTACACAGCATTGGACCTTGCTACCCTTCCTTGCTTGTAGCGGCCCTGCCCTACCCATTGCTCAGGCGCAGACTATCGCATTCCAGGGGTTTAAGGGTTCTCAACTTACGTGCATGTTTGGAAAACTCTTCCAAAAGATCGTCTCGATCCCGGTTCTTTGGAATATAGCCCACAAATAACCGGTGATTGTTATAAGATATGGTTACGCCAATCTTTTTGCCTTTCCGTATCTCATAATCATTCAGCTGCAAGAACAGTGGAAGGGTAGCCAATTATGCCTTGGGCAAAGGGGGGGGAGGGGCGGGAAAGGACTGAGCCCGGCAGCCGGCCGCCACTAGCTACTGATGCACATTACCTGTTAATTTACCAAACTCTTCCAGTATCTCCTCTTTGCCTTTTGACTTTGGTATGTTTCCCACGAAAAGCCGAAGATTCGGAACGCTAATGTTAATTTTCAAGGTCTTGCCTGGTTTGATTTCATGATTGTCCAACTGTGGGTTAAGAAACAATGCCAGAATTTCATGATTTAGTAGAGTCAAATCTTAAATTTAGCAACAGTGGGACTAAACGATATAATTTAGTAGTACCAAAATAGACAATTTTGTAACAACACAGATCATATATAAGTCTACATAACGAGCATGTCGCAGCGGGGGAAGAACACTGGACCATCGGCGGCGGCGGCTTTGGCAACACAAACACTACTCCAAATAAGGAAAAATAAAAAAATAATGCAAAAATCCAAAACCTCCTCGATGGCGTTCCCCTTTAACGGCGTGACGTAAACGCATCTACGATTCTCAAAATACAAAAATTCAATACATCTGCTCCTTCTAAAAAAAAAATAAAATAAAGAAATAAAAGCATACTCCTTAAAGGTCATTTTTCAGAATTGAAATTGCTCGTTTAGGTGAAAGACACCGTTAACATTAATCGGATTTCAGGTTTTCAAATATCTAATTAATAAAATTATTTTTTACAGAAAAAACTTCCTGTATTATTAAAAAGTCCATTCACCAATTAAAAACGAACGTAACTAGACAATTTGCATTTACTTTCTCTTTAAAAAATGAATGAAACAAAAAAAAAACGAAGGTTAACGTATTGCCATTTACAGTCGAAATCAATGGAAACTTATAAATTGCTCTGAATATTAATAATTTATAATTAAGGCGTTGATAAAAATCAAATCAAATTAACGTGGAATGTAGATGCGTTTCGTCGCGCCGCGAATATATTTTCAAATGGCTCAAACCAAAACTGCCCGTCGTTCCGTCTGTGCTGGCGGTTTTTGCGTTCGGCTTTGTTGTTTTTTTTTTCTCTTTTGGCTCGCAGATTCGTACAACACTGCTACACCCAAACCAACCAATCCACACTACACCAGTTCGCCTAAACTAAATGGAATTTAGAGTCACTTTTCCCGGTCTCAATTTTGCCCATTTGTGCAAAGAGGAGACCTGTAAAGGAAAAACTTTAAAATCCAGCCAAACACACACCAGTTTACTTCTTTTTCTCTAGAGAGCCAATTGGGCGACACCTGAGCCAATCAACAAACAGCGCATTGCCTTTTGCCAGCCAGGTGTCTGAATACGGTTCGTCGCAATTTTGGTACAAGAAAACTCTGGGCTCTGATTTGAAGGAAAGCTACAGGGAAGATTGTACGTGTATGCTCCGTGGTCAGAGCCGCTGCAACAAAAGTTAAAACACTAAATTGCGGGCTATGACAACAGTCGCCACACATCACTATAATAGAACTTGCCAATTAGACACAAAATGGCCCGGCCACCTCGATGCCGATAACATCCAGATGCTCGGACGAGGTTACACCAGACCACTCTCGGCTCTGCAAAACAACAAAAGACAATAAACTACTCAACAGAGAAAGCACTAACGATTCTAAGTCACTGCTACCCCCAATAACAGCCAGCTAGCTCATGTCACCATTTTAGTGCTTTTAGTCTTTGAAGATCGGCCGTCTCTTGATACGAAAATTTAAAAAACTGCTTTATTCCTGCAGTTTCTCTCGGGCGCTATATTGAAAAAATAAAAATCACAGCTCTGTCAGGTACGCGAAATACTCCCAAGGCCATAGCCAACGTTAAAAATATCCGAATTGATTTTATCAAACTGAGTGGTTCGTAAACAAACCGATATAGGGCAGGTGCTAGTAGGGGACCCTAAAATATAGCGTTTTATTATATTTATATAATGTCATTCATTTTAAGGGAAGATACGGAAAAATGAGTGAAACGCGATTTAAAAAATTTTGAAATGTATATTTACGCCGGAAACAAATATTTTCAAATCATTATTTAAACACCTTTTTGAACCGCTCCTAACCGTTGGACCACAAAGATTTATCAAGAGTGAACCTTGATCTATTCGGTCACTAACCTAGCTTTTACCGCGTTTTTAATCCGTAGTCAACGACAAAGAAAAAACAGATCCTTTCACCTACACATAGAAACGAATAAGATATAATAATCGTATTCGGATCTTATAGGTTATTACAATTTCGTATTTTTAATACGGTTAACGCTTTCACTATGTTTTACAATTGAACATGAGTTTTTAGTATTATGATGATAATTAATTATTCTGTTTGTAGTACGCATATCTAATGACTTATTGCATTTCAAAGAATAGTATGGTACCTACCTATTTAAAATGCCAGTATGGCTAAAAAAACATTAATCCGTAAATTGCACTTCGTCAGTAAAGTTCGACTCGCTGCACTTTGACTTTGAAACCAATTGCACGACGACTGGGAAAATCAGCTGTTTCGCTTCAACGTTCGACCGCTCTGTGGAGCGCTGGCGCGTTCCCAGACAGTATGACTGAATCATCATGTGCTTCTTTTGGCCGATCGCGTTAAAGTTGACACACATTGTTTTCCAAATAACTTTAACTTTAAATGAACTTGATATGCTAGTGCTTGCGGTAGATGTCACTCTTTGAAATAATTGCATTTACAGAAGCCAACTTTAACGCTAAACAAAACAATTTGATAATTCCACCTATACACACCTGCCCTACGCCGGTTCAATTATGCATCATACCGATTTATTTTACGTATAATAAACGCAGCATCCGAATAAACATTTTTTTTTTAACTACGGTTGGAATAGAAAAATACAGAGTCTTTAGAAACGGAACTGCCATACTTCAAGGTCAACTTTCTTGGATGGAACCGAAAAATTATTCAAGGAATAAAGGAGTGTTTGGGGCAGCCAAATGTGAATGAATGGAAACTTACGTACGTTCATTTCGCCAAGGAAAATAATTTTAAACGCGAACGAAATGAGAATCAGGGCACTTATTAAAGCGGCCAGGCGATTTTAAGACATGATCCGTGACATGAGACAGCTCCAGAACTAGATAGAACAAAAAAAAACCATTAATGCTCTCTCGATTCTACAAAACAATGGTCTGCTGAAACCCAAGTAAAAAATTTTCAGGTGATTAAAGAGGTAAAGTAAAGGATACAAATTTACATCGTCCCTGTTCCGGACAAACATCGAGGGACAAAGAGAATGTCATTTTAAATATAGGTAAAAAAAAAACGTTTTCTGTGATTCGACTAACCAATCACCGATCTGACAAAACTGAACATATAGATGTATAAAATGGTAAGATATCGGACAAAATACTAGCCAAGTCCTACTACTTTGAAATGCCCGCCTTCACCTATTTTATAGATCATACACAGTCTCGGACTCGAGAGAGAGCAGCACGTACAACACACCTCTATGTGTCCGTTGTCAAGACAAATAACTACGGCAAACTACGACTTCTACTTACCTTCTGGACGGCTAGCTGGGCGGCGTCGCGTGAGGTAAATGTTACAAACGCATACCCTCTGTTCGTGCCCGTCATCGGGTCCATCATGAGCCTGAGGTCCCAGATGTTGCCGCACGCCTCGAACAGCGGTATCAGCTCGTCCTCGTACATGTCCTTCGGGATTTTGCCGCAGAATACCTCGCATCCGGACCCCGGGGACGGGCCCTCCCAGCCCGGCGGCGGCCCGCCGTACTTCCTTTGACCTTCACGGCAGAGAGCGAGTGCGTTTTATACGGGGTGTTCGGTTGCTAGTCGGCCAAACGCCGCCAGCGGGCTCTACGGCGAAAATCGTGGGAGGCATGTCGCCGAGTGTTGAAGACGGAAAATTTAAAACAATTTTTTTTTTGACATATCTTGGAAGCCAGTTAGCCATTTTCCTTTATAATTTGATTTGGATACTACTTTAGAGTCATCAGAAACAAATGAATCCTTAAATTGCAGAAATGGTGTAGCCAAGTCATCCTGGCTGAATTTTTAGCCGTTATCTATAGTTACTTCTTTAGCATATAAAATATTAGTTTAAAGAGCATAAGTATGACTTAAATTGACAAGAATTTTAGAATTAATTTGAACTAAAGCAATGCACTTTATTCTAAATTGGGTATGCAACTTGTTCTGTGGGCCCTTTATAAAAAAATTAATGTTACGCCGCTGTGTAAAGCGGAGACAACAGCCTATTTCGTGATTTTTAAACACAAAGGTCACTTGGATTTCAATTTTCTAATGCATCGGGATGTTTACATAAAAAAATGTGTAGTGTTTTGTCACTGAATACTATTCTACAATGTAATTTAACACGAACTGTACAATTTTTAATGGAATCGTACACCATTGTTATCGACTCTTGACCCGCTGGAATGCCTATATTACATAAAACTTGTTTGTGTTTTTGTCCCTCTGTTGTTAAATAAAAGGACAGTGGTATGAGATTTTAGTTAAGCTTCCTATGAACAGATGGTGCAAATAAGGCATAGTCTAGCACGTCGCAATTGTTCGTCAAATTCGCTCACTTTTAGAGTTTTTAATTGCCAGCTTGCAAAAAATGAAAAAAATACCAGTCATTATTTTATTTTATGGCAATATTTGAAAATACTAGTAATTGATCGGCAGCTGACTTTTTGGTAGATTCCGATGTAATTAAACCATCTTTTTCGCTAAATTTGTAGATATAACAAATATTTTTCATGTCTTAGACCAACCTACTCTTATTTTCAGTGTCCAATGAGGTATAGAGCCATGAAAGTACTCCTGTCAACCGATATCAGTAGATTTTTACCTTTCAAATAGAAGTAAATTGGTTTCCATCGTAAATAATAAAATAAAGCTGCAAATTTAGCAAAAAGATGCTGTTTAATTAAATAAATGCCTCAAGATTCTGTCATATTGCAATATCGCGTACCTGAAAATTAATAAAAAAAATGCCAAATGAGGTTTAGAGATATGCCCGTAAATACTTTTTTCAACACTCTGTTCCGACAAAACCTTATTTAAACTACCGCTCTTAATTCCCATCGTAGAACCTATTGGTGACGTCTGGCCGGTTAGTAACTGAACACCCTGTATAGAATCGCGGTAATACCCCCGAGACAACGGCGGAATATTTACGGTGTAAGGACGGTCACAGTCCACTGCCACAGTTCGTTTCAGAATATTGATATTGAATATTTCCGTTATTACATATTTATAAAAAATAATAAATAAAAACATGGATGTTTTTTCGTTTTTTTATATATTTTCAAAAGAAAAAATAAAAACTTTTGAACATGGCACTAAAAACCTAACCTATTTTATTATTCTTTGAATTTACCGCTTTTTTTATTAGAATAATTCCGAAATAATTAAATGGCAATCCACAATAAACTGAAACGAAATATGTTCTACATGCAATTCTACGTCTATATGAACCTGGTGCTTGCGACAAAACAATAAAAAACCTATATATCCCAAGATAAAAATTAATATGTAATTACCTAAAAACCTTGGATGATGTCGGTTCAATTTTTAGTTTTCTTTAAAACTATTACAATCTATTAATACTCGGATATATTATTAATTCCATTTTCAAAGAGGCAACTTGAATCCTCAAATGGCAGAAATGGTGCAGCTAAGTCATCTTAGTTGGATTGCTCATTGATCTTTGTCCAACGTGATGTCACGGCTGGCAGAAACAAGAATAGAAAACGTTTTCTTCGCGACGTTGTCTAATAATTTTAATATCAAGTATGTGCTCTTTGTTACCGCTATTTGGATAATGACTTTACTGTTATTACACACAGTTATTAGTTTGAGATATTTGATTTTAAAGAACATATACGACCATTATCTTTAGAGCTAATTCCATTTAATAAAGTAAAAGTAATACACGTTATTTTAAATTAAAATAAGCAAAATGTATCATCAAGGTATAAATCCAGATCAAATAGTGCATGTAAAAATACAATCTTAGTTATCCGTTTGTTTTATCATATACCTACTTTAACGGTGATTTATTATTTACTTGAAATCTTTTCTAATCTCGGGTAAATATGAGACACAGATATTATCTACAAACGAAATGCACTTTTATCGTATTGTTTCTCTGACGAAATGCCCCGACTTGCAGGTTTGCCACGACTATTTTATATACCCACATAATATTTTCGAAATCTTCACATTATGAATATACATGGCTTAAGTTAATTGACTTTTATTATTTTAACAACTTGAACTCGAATTTTTCAGAGATACGCCAGAGCTAGAGCATAGTCAGTTAAAATGCAGCACCCGTGCTATTTCTAGTCTGTCCCATTGCCCTGTTGCATTGAGAGCACACACACTGCAGGATTTTTTACAAGTTGCCTCAATTGTTCGTGTATACTGACATTTCGTAGAAATTATGACAAACAGATCAAATATTTGTTGAGGTTTATGTTGATGTTTAGATATTATTTTTGAATTTATAAGTTACAAACCTTAAAGTAATGCGGGATTATGTTTCTCATTATAGTACCTACTAACGTATTAGCGCACAAACTTCTCGAAAATGAAAAAAAAAACGTAAAACTTAGATAGAATTACTTTCTGTGGACTATATTTTAAAACTGGATAGATATACTCTTGAAATGTGGATAACTAATACAAAGCCAACTCTTACAATTTACGATCGTAGTCATGAAAGTAGATCGAGTGCGCTGTGTTTTTGATCATCTCGTTTAACTGTTATTTTTTCGTTTCGTGTTTGATTTTGTGACACGCGTCTCTTGAAGTGCGCACACCAGAATACAGCGTTGCCAAGTTGTGTACATTTTTATAAGTTCAGCCTTTAACGTGAATAATATTTAAATAAAAAAACTAGCAAGTTTAGAAACTATGTATATCAAGTTTTAACAAAAATAATAAATAACCAAAGCCATTCTTCTGCTGACTGCGTACACTTTTTTTTTTAAACATTGTTAGGCCTTTCGATTTAGGCAACCGTAGCTACCAGGTTCAACGTAGACGCAAAATAAACATTTTTCCGAAAAAAATTACGTAAATACCTGTCGTTACGTCGAGAGTGTACCCCGTCCTGTCCAGTATCTGTTTGATCTTCTCCTCGTCGGGGCCCTTGACGGGGGCGGGCGCGGGCGCGGCGGTGCCCGCGCTCGAGCCGGCCCTGCTCTTCTGCCGGTACGTTTTCATGACGCCGCACAGGTACGCCGACTTGTTTGAGACGTGCTCCAGGTTCGAGTCGAGGAACTGGCCGAGGACGTTGAGCGCCCCGTCGACGGGGAACTCCTTAAGGGCGTCCAGGGCCCTCTCGTCAAGGTCCACATGCGCTAATTTACCAGTCTTGTAGATCTCATCTAATTTAGCCGCAACTTTCTCATCGAGGCCATATTCTATTAGTTTCTGATAGTCTTCGGTTCTCTCGACGTCCTCTATCCTCATTGGTTCTTCCGATACCTCACCATTACCTTCTGCCATAGCTGGAAAATACAAGGAACCAATTAAATTGCTTACATTCTCCTTCACCTAACCTGTCAACTGTCATATTGTTAAATTCGAAGTTTCGCTGTTGCCTTGCCCGGATAAGTTTTACGGAATAGTCCAGTTACTCGGGGTTTTTATCTCCGAATTCTTTATAACTGAACCGATTTAAGTGAAATTTTGACTGAATGTGGGGAATGCCTCAAGGAACAAAACTTATATAGTGCCGAAGTGTGCTTTTGCCCTGGGGGTGGTTCCCACCCCTTCTTGGGGGGGGAAAATTTTAACCCCAAAAAAAACCCAAGAAACCAAAAAAGAAGCAAATTTAAAGAAAAAAGGGTAAAAAAAAGTTTTTGGAAAAACCAAAAACTTCCCAAGAAATCCGCAATGAAAAAGGAGAATTTTTAACGAAAAAAGGCCTGGTTTGGGAAAAATTTTTGCAAAAAAACCCGAAAACAATGGAATTAAACAAAAAAGTGGAAAGAAAAAAAAGAAAAGGAAAAAAAAAACAAATCTAATGGCATTATTTTGTTTTTCTCTAATTGCAATATAAACCGAGTTATGGATTTTTAAACATTATTATATGTTAGCTAAAAACTAAATTGGAACCAGTTAACGTTAAATAACGCCAAAACCATAAATATTAGGAAAAAACTATTTGAACCTTGTTTGAAGTACTTTGAAAAACCTTTAAAATGAGCTATTTTAAAACTCTTTAGAATCAAAATTAACGGAAATATGATCGAAATAACATGAGTCTCATTTTTTTTTAAGAAAAAATTAATAAACAAATCAGTGCCTTTGGCGACAGAATTAAAATTAAATGCAATCGATTTACAGATTTCTTCATTTATGTTCTAAGAATATGTTCTGGGTCTTTGGCTTACTTACAAAGCATGATTTCGAAAAAAACTTAATATTTGAAAATGTAAATTTTTCCAATTTTTTTTTAAAAATTCGATTTTTACGTTGTAACTTAAAAATTAAAGGGTGTACGGAAAAATACAAGAGTAAAAAAAAGTGTTTTACTTTTGCAGAAGATTTTGCTTTATTTTTTATTCATCTAAAAATTAATCGAGATATTGCCATTTTAAATTATCATATGAACGAGAGAACCACCCTTTTCGAGCCCTTTAAACCCTTCAAACTTAAAAATGAAGGGCTTAAAAAATATCTACTCAACAGTTCACGTAGCCCTTACAATTCCCTGCAAAATGAGCCTTTGTGCGATTAAAAATCTTAAAAAGTAAGAAAGTTATCGTCAAAAAAATAAACACCTGTATAGGTGATAATTTTAGGAAAATTTAGGTCAAACAAGAATTTTGAAGCATTTAGATCTTTTTTGTATATGCGTATTTAATATGTCGAATAAACCAGTACTACATTATAATACACACTATACTACACACACGTACACAATAATAATAATAATAATAAGAGAATAGCAGTCGAATAATCATTTACATATAATTGTAATGTTTTTTTGTATTTATTATTATTAAAAAGGAAAATAAAAATTTATAAATGTAAGGGGTAATTTTTAAGGGTTGAAAAATTGCAATCAATTCAAAATTATTTAAAAGAAGGGAATAAATGTTTATTTAATACGAATGCACATTTAAAATGTTTCTACTCTTTCAATTATATTTTTTCATTTTATTTTCGAAAGAAGGGGAATTTTTCAAGGGTTGAAAAGTTGCAATCGATAAAAAAGATTTTTTAATCAAATCAATTTTAATTTGATAAAAATGCATGATTAAAACGTTTCAAATTGAAAAAAAATATATTATATTATTTTCATCCAAAGGGGTGGTTTTTAAAGGTTTTTCTAGGATGAAAATTTGGGATACATTAATTTTCATGTTAGATAGCACATCAAATTACTCATACTGTATAAATAAAAAGGATTTGACTACATAAATGCTTAAATTTGTATTTTCTATTTTTTCCAATAAGGGGTGGTTTTCACCCCTTAAGAACAAAAAGCAGACTTAGCGCATATATAAGTTTTGAAGTGGAGAGTAAGATGAGCCTAATTTTAAATTTTGAGAAAAATCGATGCAGTTATAAAAAATTCGGAGGTATTACTATATGTTCAGCTACAGTAACGGCTAAAACTAAAATATATTTTTACAAAACTAAAAAAGCTCAAAATCGGAAGAAAACTATACTTGTAGGTTAGGTTTGTTTACATGACGTTTGACATTGGGCTATTTTTTTAAAGGATGTAAAACAGGTGTCCTGTTTTTTTATTTGACAACCAAATTTGGTGCACAACTATTTTAGGAGATGTAGAATAACATTAAGGATGTATTTTATAAGAAAAAATCCCTAATGTTTTTCTGAAAAGTGAACCCATATAAAAAATCATAGAAAGCCAAGCGTTTGTGGCAATGGGCAACTAACAGTTGCCAAATGACCTTTCATGGCCCTACCTATAAAAAAAATAGCCCAACTGTAATTAATATTTAATAAAAAAAATATATTTGCAGTTCATTTGTTTTTCGCTTTTGTTAATGTTAATAAATCGATATACCTTGTATATATCTGGAGACTAGCGTGTCATTTTTGCTTCACAGACAAAAGCGAATTTTTATAGTTTGCCACAACTAATAAACCGGTAACCGTCTTTGTCCTGCATAAAAACAAGGACTTTTGATTGGACGACGAAATATAGCGGCAAATTTGAACTACAACTACGAAACATAAACATTAAAAATTAGAAGTAGTTACGGATTTGCGGACGATCCGAACATCGCCATTAATGTTATTTTTAATCCATTTTCACAAAAATAGCAACAATTTCTCAAAAACTAATATAATTAGGTACCACTAGCCATTATCCTATTTAGAATACTTGGGGATGAATACACTGCCCTCAAAATAAAAATGGACCTGTTCCGTCGATTTTTTAAAGAATCGCAATACATTCAACTTGTCCGTGACCAGGATTAAATTCAGAATAGTCATTTAGTTCTGAGGTCCACAAAGATAAAATAAATACGGTTTGAGCACACTAAATTACTCATACCGATGTGTATGGTGTAAGAACAAGATACGCATCTAGTTGTTGAAAGCAAAGATACAAATTTTAACGCTTATTCTGACAGCTAACATGACAGTACAAGCAAAAATATAAATGTAAATTTAAATGTTCGATTGTTGATACAACAATTAGTGGTTCCTAAACGATTTATAAAAAAGAATAAAGTGGCGCTAATTTTAATACGGCAGACTAAATAGAAGTTGTTTCCTCTACGTCAACAAATTGTAAAACTGTCACTATTTTAATTGGCATTAGCGTGTAACTATTTCTAGATGCGATTTTTCTTATGTGGGCGATATTAAGGAACGCCGAGTTGAAATTGTGTATGCAATATGGATGCGTAGAATATAGAGAAATAGAGTTGTTACTGTCTCGTGTTATTTTATCAAATTACTATAAAATTTGTAAGGATTTACTATCGTACCCTCACCTCACATTTATACGCTTTTTATTTTTAGCCCCACAGCATAAAATAAAGCTAATAGGAAGGTCTAAGATCTACGTCACCAAAATTTGAAAAAAATAAGCGAAAATGAACACATCTCAATAGCACTGTCCTTTCAAAACATGAATCATAATAAAACCGGATCATACAGTAAGATAAAATCTTGCAAGAACGTTATTATAACTTAACCTCTTGACAGTGGAAATTCCAAATTGTACCCGGTATTTGCCTTTCAAGAACTTCCACTTTTGCATTTTAAACAGACAATTGTTTAATTACTTCTTTAAAATAACGAAAACAGTGACAAATTTTTTTAGACACATGTGAACATCATTAATAAATTCTAGATTTTAGAATGCCGCCAAATAGATGAGAAATTACAGACCCGCGAGTTCGACGAGAATGAATCTCTTACCAATTGAATTTTTTTGCTTTGTTACTAAGAATTGTTATTATCCTACAACCTCTTCGGAAAATACCAAAATAACCTTCTCGGAAATATTTAATATTAATTTAATACTTTTGTAGGTACTTGATTTAACAACTTGTATTTTCAAGAATGTATAATATCAAAAAAATGGCAATAAATTTGAAATACATATTTATAAAGGTAATAAAAAGCAACCAAATTCAATATCGAATGGGTCCTAAAAAATAAATTTTCTATCGTTCAGTTCGAAAACTGTCTCGGTGAACGATATTAGGAACAGCAGATGGCGCTTTCTACTTAATTCGAGCTACAAACAATAGATGGCGCTTTAATTCTAGGGAAGCACAACCGATGTAATAAGTACTAAATTTTGGCGACTGAAAAAGCTGGAAACTCTCTACACGAGCATGCTTTTAGGGTATTACATATTTTTTGTCACTTGAATGAGTAAAATCAAATAAATGAACGTTTACAGAGTTTTCATGTTGCAATTTATGGAATACTCTTTTAGTGTGACGTCACATATTTAGGCAACCCACAGCAAATCGTCATAGTTGAAACTGTATAGACCGAATCTGACCCGTATGTATTATTTACATAGACAGGTACTATAAAAATGAACAACTTCAAATTAATTTATTTTTACAAGGAATTGGAAGTAGTTAAGAACAACCAACACGTGTTTGGTAAAATAGATACACTAATCTGCTTAAAACTTACAAAAGACGATATAAAACAATATTTCTAAATTTAAATAAAGTAAAAATTTAACATTAGCCGTGCTATTCTTAATGCGCATGCTCGGAAAGAATAGCCTCATACGCAGGTGAGGTCTTGTTGACATGTTATAGCTGTCATCATTAGCGTATTTTCTCTTGTTATTTTGTTTAATCTTGGCATTTTCTAGTTCTACTAAGTATTTTTATTGTTTTTCTTGGTGTTGTACTGTGTCAATGTGTTAATCGAGTGTTTTTTCTTCAAGTGGTTTATTACAGACGTACTCTTAACCATAACCAAACTTTTCTTAAAGATATCCTGTGACGAGGCTACTTCGCTTACACGAAACTATCTTTAATGCGCATGCTCAGTAACAGTTACAATTACTATAAAAGTTAATATTGCTGTATAAATTTAAATACATATATAAATTCTACAATTCTATTAGTTTGCCACTTTGACGTTTGAAACTTCGTAAATATTTCTAATATTGCCACAATATCGCAATATTTAAGGTCATGACAAAAAAGGCATTTTTTGGCACTCATGTCTAAAGTACATAAGGTCGAAAATCGATCAAGTAAGAACATTGAGAAATTGTTCATGGCAATGTGTACTATGCAGTTGCCAATTATTTGGCGTATATGACGTCACTACTAAAACGATCTATTGCAAGTATGTACATATACGTTTTTTCTTAGTAAGGTGTATCCGGTGATTAAACTCGATAAAACCAAAAACCGCTAGGAAATTTAGTTTATCTGAAGGATTTACACAAATAGAACAGGCATTCCGCTTATTCTGGGGCGTGGTATCGGAATATCCACACTACTGTAAATAAAAATGAAAGTAAACATTCTTGCAACTCTTTTAACTTAAATATCTGCCACAAAATCAAAGCCTAAAGGTCCAATAAACTACTAAACAGCTACGAAGTGCATTTTCCGTTCTTAGCAGAGTATTTGCATACAAATGCATAGCGTGCCGAGTATTCCTATTTACAGACCCACCAGCGAAACCACTGCATTATCTATTTTTAACACCAAATATTTAAGTTGACAGTCTCCCTATAACCGTTATTTTATGACTAAGGCAACTGCGACAGTATTGTTAGAAAATATCTTAGTCACACAGCCAGCAATAAGTTATAAATCCTACCTACGTGTGATGGCTGGATAATTTACGAAATAAATAAAATTTTCTCTCGAACAACCTCGCCGCGCGCTACATTTTACTCTGCAGTCGGCGGCTGTACCCAAGACCCAGTTTCTCTTAAAAAAAAAAAAATAAACTGCAGCGTACCGACCGCGGTTGCATCTCGTCGACAACAAACAACCCAACAGCGCCCCAAACCGCAACGAAAAAGACAATCGAAAGGTAACGGGCTTGGGGACGCCGCGAATCGCAAGGCGGACGGCGAAATGGCGAGGTACAGTTACCGTCCTGCACTTTTTCAAGGTAAATGGCATTTAAATTTGGCCAAGGAATGCGCCGCGAAGCCCCTGCATGCATGCACTCCAACTGCGCCGCGGTGCAGCTGCATCGAGCGCCCGACTAGGTGGGACGGCACAACATGGCGCGGTTGCTTGCAAAATTACTCATACCTCCTACATGTCCGATTATTCCGTTCGAAATCGGAGAAAAAATACCTCGTTGCCCCTCGAAATTTTTCAAATACGACGCTGGAAAATGTACCTGCGGATGGTTCGCGCTGTACCAAGAATAGGCATAGATTAACCGATAAAGAGATACGTAATTTCGAAAGAAACACTCCTCTTATCACCCTAACCTACGCGAACGACTTTTGAAAAGACCCTCTTATTGTTGCGACATGCAAAAGTAAAAACAGGCAATAAACCAAACGTATACATGAAATAATGCAGTTTTACTAATCAACAATGTCAAATCACCCGGGAAAGACGCGAATTTTTACTCACAATTGACAATGTTCCTTTATACAATTATTTACGATGAAAAAAACGGAAATACGTTGAGCGCCTTTGTTGCAAAGCGGGCGGTTTCGATTTTCCCGCTTTTTTCCCGTCCGGCGCATGCGCGCCGCCGAAACAACTTGATAACCGGCGTTTTAGCCGATGAATATCGCACACAAAGCTACCATTCCCGAACACAGTGACGATTTTTAAGAAAGCGAGTGTCCGCATAAGACAAAACCACCCGCGGTCGTTCTACAAGCGAGCACCGGTGCCGGGCGCAAAGCAAACCGCAACATAAAACAAAAGTAGTTTGACAACAAAACAGCCGACACTCGAATTATAACGAAAGTGCGCATATTGCATCTAACTAAGCCTACAAGTATAATGAAATAAATTCTGCATACCTTACCGGCGACAAATTAACTATTTATGTACACAAAATTTACACACAACACCTAAAAATAATAACAAATTTATAAAATTTAAAATGGCGGCCGCCAACTCCAATGGCCAACGTCAACGTGACGAGAAGGACTCGGGGTCCACTAGGCGACGCGCACGGTTTTAGCCTCGAACCAATGCGCATTTCCTAAGGCCGCGACCACACCGCACGAACATGGCGCACTCGGTGCCTATCTTTTAAATATTTTAATCGCCGCAAGTACGGCATTTTTTCAACGTAATATGCTTGTTTCGCGTACCTTTAACGTCGTTAATAAAGTAAATTTTAAGTAAGATACTCGTATACCGACATTTGCGGGTAGTACTAAGGCTTGTATTACGGTGGTATTCTCAAGTGGAGCAGTGAGACAAAAGCTTTAGGTAGCCGGGAAAAATTTAAAGCTTGTTACCGGTACTTTTGCGGATGTCTGCTGTCCGCTGGTGTTCGTTTACCTTTGCCGCATCTCGGGATGCGAGATGAAATATATTTTTTCTATCGTTTAAAATTTAGGTACTCACCCCTTTCTTTTAAATGTTACAATCTACACTTTAAATTACACTTTAACAAACACAACAAACATCATTTGAATGATAAAAAATAACACTATGTTTTATAAACTATCGCAGTAGACAATTAAAATAATTTAACGTTTAAAAGTGAATAATAAAAAAAACTTAAAACACAAACTTAATTTAGTCCCAGGAAAATAGGCTGTTATCCTTCAACAAAAAAAAATTAACGAATTTTGTGTGATTTTGGTGTAGCACCGACTCCCGCGGCTTGTAATGCAATGTGCACTGTGCAGATTCCGTTGTTTTGCAACCCGTCTGGCTGGCGCGTTTAGCTTGCATTCAGGTTGTTCGCAGTGTCGGAACGCATGCGCCCCAAACGGCAAACTAGTCTGGCATCTCAGACATTCTCCAAGATTATAACGACTCCGAATACTTCGATACACTTCATTTGCCGCGGCACAATGAAAATACCCCGTTTATTTGGCCAATATTCCCAAGTATAAGGCTCCCTCCCTGTCCCTGTCCCGCACAAGACCGCCGCCTCTATGGTCTTCTTTAAATCCGCCTAGATGGGACAATTTACACGCCGAACGCCGATGATGTAATTTCGGCGTGCATCGCCAAAAGACAAAAAGCCCGTTGCCCTATTAAGTTATCGATTATTTAGAAATTCGGCACCTTTTTAATGAGACACACTACAAACAGGTTCAAATTCAACAACCAACAACTGCGCTAATTAATAATTGTAATATAACTTTCATAAAGTTAAATAAAATAAACCTACAGAATTATAATACACCGTCCCCTCTTCTGCACAAGTCTTCAAGTTATTACGATTATACTACAGGTTGTAACCATCTATTTTTTTAAAATCTACCTACACATTTTTAAAGGAAAAAGTGACTTCTAAATTTCACAAAAATGGATGTACTGTAAAAGGTCTAATAGGCCAATTAAATGGGTCTTTAGATCGCAATTTTGATCAACCTGCTTGATTTTTTTATAGTCATGTTTCACCAATTCTGTAAACTGTAAAAAAAGGTTGAACGCGGAAAAATCAGTTTTCGAAAATTGCGCATTATTATTGCAAAAAGCGATGGATGTTGACGAAATTTATGGAAAAGAGGGTCAATACAATGACCAACATTGGTTGCCCCAGGTATTTGTTAAATAATTTCGTTCGTTTTTTTTGCAACTAATTGTTTAATTATTAAACTAAACTAAAAAATATTATTTTAGTAATTAATATCGTTCTAACTGATCCAAAGAAACGTATCGAAAAAAAAAATTTCAAAAAGTTGAAATTACGACAAATTACGTTGCCCTTTACATCTACATTGCAAAACAGCGTTATAAGCAAATTGTCCCAAGGTCAGACAAAAGCCGCTCGCGAATTCGCTCTTTTTGCATTAAATAGAGCTTATTTTAATAGGTAAAAGTTTTCAGGTTTTATGATCTAATTCGACTGAAGTATAAGAGCTACAAAAAAATTTAGAGAGATGAGAATCTACCAGAAAAATGTATGAATTTCACAAGTTTTTTTTCATTATAGATACTCTAAAAAATATAAGCTTTCTTTTCAGAGAAATAAATATTATTTTTTATTTAGTAGTAGTAATTGTAAAGTTATGTAATTGTTTAATTGTCAATTTTAATGATTTAACAAGAGTAAAACATTTTTTTTTCTATATCGTTTAAAATTTTTTCTATACTATTTCAAATAATGAAAAGTTTTTTCGAAATTTTTTTTTACGTTTGATTTTCAGGCAGGTACAAATTTATTTACCTTTTGAATTTGATTTAGCTCCTACGTCATTGCCAAAAAAAATTACGCTCGCTGTTGTCGCACTCATGGTATATACCGAAGTCCTGGTCTTCTGGGTATGCTTATGACAAAGATAAATCATTACGTTCGCTATTGTCGCACACATTAGTGTTGTCTCTGTCAACGCGCATGCGTCACATCTATGTTTCAAAATCAAAGGCTCATTTTAAATTTAAAAACAACTCAAAAATGGCTCGTTATTTCGAATGAAATGAAATCTTTTTTGTTTGAAATATTGACCAGAGTTAAATGTATCTACTTATTCAAAATCTTTAATCGAAATGGGTTTCTTATTGACGGTATTTCCCAGTATCTCGCTACTTGTTGGTACATTTATGTACCAACTCAACAAATTTTTGTTAACCGTAAATAGTAAAGTCATTATTAGTCAATAGTAAAATTTCATAAATCTGCGAAATATTGAAATAAATGTAATACTGTTTTAATTTCAACATCCTGTATCTAGAAAATGAAATGTTCTTAAGAACTTTTTGACAAAGTACATCATTAAAGTCCTGTATAGGGAAGTGGGATCTTTGTTTAATGATCTAGACTAGTTAGATACAATCCAAAATCCTCCAAATAAAATGTAGTTTTGGAAATAGACGAAATCCTTGCCAAATCATTTAAAATTTGGGAAAACCGACAAGTAGTTGAAAAATAAAACAAAATGACCTTCGGAGCCAAATAGAAAATTTGGGTATATTTTTAAGTCGAGACTATTTATTTATCCGTTTCTGTCTAAGGATATAATGAAGACTTAACTGGAGAACTATGAATGCAATGTTGAATAAAAACTCCAAAATTAAAATCAAAGAATAACGCAGTTCAGATTTAAGATATCCTGAATTTACTACTACTATATACAGGGTGTAACGGATGCTGATGGCCAAACTTCAGGGGGTTATTATACAAGTAATTTTCAACAAAAAAGTATTATAAGATTTTTTTGGAATGTTGATAGTTGCTTTTTTATTTAACATTTTTTTATTTCAAAAAATGTTGTGCCTTTTTTCATAAAAACAAAAATATCTCTGTTATTCTTACAGCCACATCAAATTTAGACATACCATAGGAAAGAGCATTAAATTTACTACAAGACGAGCATATATGAGTGTTTAAAAAATCTTCTATACCAGGTGCTGTAAAAAGTTAAATGTAATAATTGTGAAATGAGCAAAATTAGTGGTATCTCCTTATTGGTGGTAACGCCAAAAATTTGTTAATGAGGACGTGTTTTTTCTTCATCAAAAACTACTGCATTTAGTAAGCTCTTCAACGATATATCAACTTTTGAGTTTGCTATTTTTTTTTTGCAAAAATATCAAGGGCAAAAGTAATAAAACCGTAAAAATCGAAAATACACAAGCTTTATAATACATTATTTTTATTTTAGTCTAACTAATAGAGATCCGCAATTTTACAAGCATATAATTTGGACTGACGAGTCAACATTTACCAGAGATGGCATATTTAATTATCACAATGACCATACGTGGGCACCTGTGAATCCTCATGCTGTCAGGCCCTCCAATAATCAATACAGATTCAAAGTTAATGTATGGATGGGTATAATTGGAAATTACGTTCTTAGACCAATTATACTAGAAAATACATTAAATGCAGAGACATTTCTTGATCTTCTTCAGAACGAACTGCATAATATATTAGAAGAGGTTCCTTTAAATTTTCGGATTAATTCCTGGCTTCAAATGGATGGTTGCCCTGCACTTAACAACAGGGAGATTCGGGCATGGCTAAACAAGCATTATGTAGATAGATGGATAGGACGCTTTGGTACAGTTAGGTGGCCTCCTCGAAGTCCTGATCTAACTCCATTAGACTTCTTTTGATGGGGTAGATTAAAATCTTTGGTATATGAAGTACCAATTGAAACTCGAAAACAGCTCGAACAAAGGATTTTTGCTTGTTGGGAGCTACTTCGACAGCAAAATGAAGAAGTACATCGAAAATTATTAAGTCATTCTAAATATGTTACTAAGTTATAATTTTTTCAACAATTTTGTTACTTTAATTTAAAAAAACAGTCTTAAAATAAAAATAAAGTACTATAAAGTTTATGTATTTTCGATTTTTACGGTGTTATTACCTTTGCCCTTGATATTGTTGCAAAAAGAAATAGCAAACTCAAGTTGATATATCTTTGAAGAGCTTACTAAATGCAGTAGTTTTTGATTAAGAAAAAACACGTCCTCATTAACAAATTTTTGGTGTTACCACCAATAAGGAGATACCACTAATTTTGCTCATTTCACAATTATTACATTTAACTTTTTACAGCACCTGGTATAGAAGATTTCTTAAACACTCATATATGCTCGTCTTGTAGTAAATTTAACGCTCTTTCCGATGGTATGTCTAAATTTGATGTGGTTGTAAGAATAACAGTTACTTTTGTTTTTATGAAAAAAGGCACATTTTTTGAAATCAAAAAATGTTAAATAAAAGAGCAACTATCAACTTTCCAAAAAAATCTTATATTACTTTTTTGTTGAAAATTACTTGTAAAATAACCCCCTGAAGTTTGGCCATCAGCATCCATTACACCCTGTATAATTTACTATATCTATGGTTCCTTTAAATTTTATTAAACCTGTTCTAGATTTACCAATTATTGACCCAATAACCTGTTCGAGAAACTGTCCAGCATCGTTGTATTTGGAGTATTAATTTTTAAAATAAAAATCACTAAACGCAATCAATAAAATAGAACTAGATGTATTGTCTCCAAGTTCTAGGATTTATTGAAGTTAGAAAATTCATTAGAATGTATGTATTAAACCATACCCAATTTATTCAAAATATGCTAAATACAAAACAAGTTTTAAGCTGTTCATTCATCTTAAACTCATTGTCAGGAAGATCACAGTTAAAATTGACATAATCAAAAAAATGTTCCCGAGTCTATCGGAATCGATACATATTTCCTCAATTGCTATGCTAGATTAGGTACATCAAATGTTCTTTTAACTGCCTTAAATAAAATAAATCATTTGGACAGTTTTAGAACACCAAGATCACGGTCACTGGAAAATTATTTTTCAAATGGAACAAAGCCAAAAATGCAGCTTCTGAATGTCGGAAATAACAGACGTTTTGCCACTACTTTTAGAAAAACCTTCATAAATATCAACTGCATTCCTTCTTGATTATTTCAGTCCCATCACACTGAATTATCAAAACTATTTTCGACTATATTTTGCGATTCGCGAAATTAATAACCAACTAACAAACGCTGTACATCTATCTAAATGTGTATACATCCATTATGCAAATAAAAATAGTCTCGAAAGATGACCAGATACAGAGGCCGCCGCAATTTGTTGCGGGTCATCGTTTCCCACGATCCCCAGCCCGTAATGATTGTCTGGTGGAATGAAAAGGTGTTGATTTAAATTTCGCAAGTAGAAAATGGTCTCAAATTGCAAATGTTCCGTTCATATGGTAGTCGAGCGGGTATGGGCGAGCATTCCCGCCACTAGGTACCATACATACATCGTGGA